CAGGGGAAGGGGAACCTCTGCATGCTAAAAAGACAAAATAACAGCCAGCCTTGAACACCAATGGAAGGCAGCCTTACAAATGTAAACACAAGTTGTGACCTTATGTGAATTAGGAGGAGGGGAATGGAATTATAGGATTAATTTTGCCACCAATTTTACTGTAAGGAATTATCTTGAAAATAAACTGTAGACTAACTGCAGGGTTTGATTTACAAGATATAGCAAAATATGATTAAAATAGAATGTAGCAAGATATAGTCAAAAGCCAGTCTGTTCAATGATAAGAGCAAGCATGAAAGACAACTGGAAACAAGCTATATTCTTTTTCTCTTCAGCAACTCTTTAATTTGCTGAAAAAAGGTTGCCACACCATTCATAATTTCATACAGCTTAATTATGTTCTTCCTAGTTGCTTATTTTATTCACTTTCTCCACTTCTATTATATACTGTATATATTTTCAAATACATTGATCAGAACTGTACACAACTTCAGAAGGTAATATACTCTGGATTTCAATAAGGACATTACAATGTTGGGATTTTTTATTTTCAAACCCTTTTCTAATGATTCCTAGCATGGAATCTGCTTTTATCACAGTTGCTACACATTGAATTGACAATCTGATTGAGCTACCTAACCCGGGTGTTGGCAACCCATGGCTCCAGAGCCGCATGCAGCTCTTTCATCCCTCTGCTGTGGCTCCCTGTCGCCCTGTCATGGCAGAGAGATGAAAGAGCTGTTGCCCTGTCCCAGCGGTGGTAATGGCTGGAGTCTTAGTGCGGGAGCGAAGTACTCCTGCACTTGCCGAAACAGCATTTTGCCTTCGTCGCGGTGCATTTGCTGTTGCTGCCTCCATGGCCTGCTCGTTGCTCTCGCAATGCCTTGTGCAGTGAAATTTAGCGGGCTTCACAATGGGAGCGACCGGGTCCCCTCCTTCTGGAGCCCATCACGACGCTGAGTGTCATTGTCGGCTCACTCTCGCCTCTTGGATGTCAGCTGCTTTTCCTGCAGAGCCACTGGTGTTGTGATGCCCTACCGGCCAGGTGGTCTTTGGCTCTCAGCCGTCTGCTCCTGGACTTGTCAGCCTCCGAACGTCAGATTCCCACCACCCAGCACCAGTTCAAGGGTTTCTTTCCACCCCCAGGGGATGGGGGGGGAGAGGGGGGAAGAGAGAGAGGGAGGGAAAGAGAGAGAGAGAAAGACACAGAGAGAAAGAGAGAGAGAGAAAGAGAGAGAGAGGGAGGGAAAGAGAGAGGGGGAAAGAGAGAGAGAGAGACAGTCATGTGACTGGATGGGAGTGAGTGAGCGCACCCAGGTTTGTGGGTCCCGGTGTTTTCTTTTCTGTGGGAAGCGCACCTGAATCCTGCAATTCTTTATACTCACTTTTGAATTTTATTTCCTTTCTGAATATTTTAGTACAGCATATTGCTAAAGTCAAAATCATTGTCAACACATAAAGAACTACTAGCAGTAATAAAAATCTTTTTGGAACTCATTTCTTATTTTCTTTTATTTAGAAAATTGCCCATTTATTCCTATTTTCTCTCTTTCTGTTTTTTAATCAGTTAGCAACCCATAAAAAACATGCCCTCTCACCCACGATTACTACAAGAGCTCAAAAACCTTTGATGAAGAACAGGCTTATGAAAATCTAAACAAAAAATGTATATGATATTACTTCTATCCTCATGTCTGTTGACATCTACAAAAACCCACTCTAATAAAACTGAGGCAGGATTTTCCCTTGGAAAATCTATGCTGAATGCCAGATTTGTTCCCCTAGTTAATTTTCTTTGCTTTTAATTTCTACTAAATTGCTTGGAATAGACATTAAGCTAACTAGCCTTTAATTTCCCAGATCTCCCTTTAAAAAATGAATTCATATTGACTACTTTCCACTTCTCTGGCACTGAACCTGATTTGAGTGATAAATTACAGATTTTTGTACGAAATTACATTGTGGTGTTTCAAGATACTGAAGCATTATTTTCTCGTGTAAAATAAATTTACTGCTTTTTTGATTACCTAAGTAGATTAATAAAGACTCAAGTAGCTGTCTTATATCTTTTGTAATAAACACAGATGTAAAGAATTTACTTAGTTTCTCTGCTATATCTCTTATCATAGCTTGTCAGGATTGTTTCCTGCTGCACATACAATCTTAAAAAGTTTGTATTCCAACAATAATAAGGGAGGATCTATTTTGGAGAGACCTGAATATATCAAACAAATTGCAGTCACTGATTTAAAACCAAGTTTGGCTTGCTTTATCAAGCCGAACTTTTATTTCCAGACCTATCATAGCTAAGCAAATATATGCTGTGGACAACAGTTATTTACACACACACACACACACACACACACACACACACACACACACACACACTATCTCTCTCAAAAAAGGTTTCTCGTGTTATGGTCCAACTCTAGGTGGTGATGTTTATCTCTGTTTCCTAGCCAAGAGAGCCAACGCCAATGGTAAGGGGTTGCTGGACTTCTAACCTAAAACATTCAATGGCTACTACATGGTGTATCTCTTAAATGCAATCAGAAGCCAAAGTTTCCTACTTCATTTCCCCCTGCATTTTTAAAATACTAGACAATGCCGTGAATTGTTTGGTCATCCTTTCAGAGATATTTCTTTAACAGATTCCTCATTGCCTTCAACAATGATAAACTTCTAATGTACTGTCTTCACTGAAAACTTGGAATACATTCAAAGATATATCTGCTTTGAAAGTATGTTAAACATATAGCACAGTCAAACATCAACATATTTTATGACATTTTGTATTATGTCATAAACTGTTGGGCACAAGGGACCAGAACAACATGAGGAGTTACTTCAAAGTAGTTCCTTTATTGTTGTTCACTATAGAAGGAATCCTGCCAGACAAAATCTGCATAACTATTAGATATTCTGTGAAAGATAAGGGGGTGTCAGTCCACTCTGGCTTTCTTCCTGAATATGAAAGATTCCATGCTAAGATGTCTCTTTGATCCTTGGGAAAGACCCCTGCCCTTCTGTGCTATATTCCACCACATAAACTGTTTCATGATCATTTTATGTCATCAAATGTTTTATAAAATTTGCCAAATTTTCAATTCCATGAGAGTCATGGGTCCCAGATTTTGGACGCCTTCTATAAATTAGCCCATTGTAGATATCTAGGTTCAAAAACCATTGCCCTACAATGGATGATTTTGCCCAGTTAAAGGTTACAGAAACAAGACTTTTACTAATATATAGTTACCTATTTCTATATTTAAAAAGAGGTTGATGACTTCCAACTCTCAAAATCACTAGCTGGTAGGTACTATGTGGGAGGATCTAGGCTACATGTAATCCATTCCTTTCCCCAAATTACAGCGCTTACCTTTACAATCCTTAAATCTACAGGGAACATGTTATTTATTGTGCAAAACTACCTAGACTGTTCCCATTATGCTATATATTACAAAATGTTTTAATGAACCAGACTCTTCTTGCAAAAGTTCCAGACATTTTTGCATAGGAATATTCCTATATTTATTAATTAGAAACTAAAGGACTTTTAAAAGGATATTGAAAAGAAAAGGAACTGTAACTTTCAGGTTCAACAGCCTCTAAGAGATCTATGATGTATGTCTTTAAAAAATTAAATAAGAATTGAACAGCACTCTACCAAATACTGTATTATTCAAGGCATGTTTGAACTTTCAGACTTCACAACAGCAGTGCAAATGGAGTAAGTACTAGGAAAAAAAAAACTTGCTATGTCCCACTAGAACAAACACAGCTGGAACAGACTTGCAGTTTTTAATTAGCTAATAAAGAGCTAAAACTCAATCTACTTTATATGAACAGTGACAGAGTAGATACCAATTGACGATGGATTAGTGAATCTAGCCACTGATTAAGTATGCAAGAAAACAAAACAAAGTTATGGGATTATTTTTTTTTGTCTGTTAATAGGGTTAGGATAAATTGGCAATTAACCAAGAAGCTTTCAATTCCAAGTAAACTTTGATGGCTTATTGTTACAACAATGTAATAGTTACTTCAGCTACTGGGATGACAGATGTAAAATGCTTTTAAAAGTTTGTGAAGCCTTCTGAATTTTTGAAATATATTTGACTCATTTGTATAATTAGGTTCTTCCTATCTAGTTTTAGAACTTGTGCAGAGAAGTTATCACATTTTAGGTTATATTTTTGTAGAAATAGTGAACATTCAAAGAAGTTCATAGTTTTTAAGCACCACTGTATATATTATAGAGGGTATTATTCCCATGCCTGCAAGAAAATGATTCTTGTATATAGTAATTCTTCACCATGGAAGTTCTGTGAGAAAACAAGAGATGGGTTGCTTTAATTATCACTCAGCATTTTTCAAACTTTGTATGCCACTTCAGTTGACAATTTTAGAAATGTTGAAATGAATGAATGAATGAATGAATGAATGCTGTTCCCAGCAAATATTTTTGGGGAAACATTTGAATCCTCCCAAAATGGTACAGATCTTTGTAGCATCTTTGTAGGCCTCTGACCTACGATGGTTTTCAATGTTTCCTTAAAAGAAAATGTGAATGAAATCAGAAATGTTGGAGAATTTAGTCTGTATTCCTGAGGACTGAAATGAACCACTTGAACCTAATCAATAGCTACTAGATAAATATGATGACAAAGGAATAAAATGTTTGCTAGCAAACAACCAAACTCAGAAAGCACCAAGAACTCCATAGACTGCTCATTTCTGTCTACGGAATCAGAAGAGGAACATTTCTCAACCATTCAAGCATAAATCCCCTATCAGTGTAGCCTTTGACTCCTTGCATTGGAATAATGGGTTTACTATAGATTCTATATATTATGGTTTGATAGCTATTTTCAAGTTTTATAAAAATTTGCTTTTTTGGCAAATTTACTATTATTTTAGATTGTTTACTAATTATTTATTTTTTTAAAATTGAAGAATTTTGAATGGAATGTAGATGTAAACAAAGAAGAATTTCCTACCTCTACCACTGACTTTGAATCCAGTCGAAAATTGAAATCACCAAAGACAAAATATGAAACTCGTTCAAACCGCTGATCTATGATTCTGAAAAGACAAACAAGACAAACATTAAATGTTTAATTTAATTTAAACATTTAAATTAAATGCACATCATCAAAGAATTTGGATCAAGCAGTTTTCTGGAGGAGGGTGGGGAATCAGAAGCCTTGAATGATCTCAAAAAATACGAATGGATTAGAATAAACGGAGATGACTTGTACTCCTTTAAATTTAACTATACATCTCTATAGCTTTTCAGATATTTGCAAGATCTCTCCCTTCCCAAATAAAAGTTGTGTAAGTTGAATGTAATTGTGCATTACATTTTCTTTTGAACATGCCATGAATCATATTTCCTATAAAAATTGTGATTACTCACTCAGTGGAGTGATAAATTCCAATTGAATAAGAAAGAATGTAGCCAAGTCATGTCACCAGAATTAATTTTATGTTTCTCAGTGGAAGGATCTACTGCTATTTCACACAGTTATTGTCTGATGCTTGTATCATATTATCAAATGTATTGTAATGTATCTGCAAGACTTACAACTCAGTTTACAGTGCTGCCAAATATATGATCAGATTAAATTATTTTAGCAATAGAATGAGTATAGTGCTTGTAGCCTTCAGCACACACAAACACATATACCCAACTCATAAGAGATGATTTGTGCTTATCATAGAGGCACTACCTATCAACACACAACCACACACAAAATTTAATCTAAGCTAATTATGTAATCCATCAATCCATCCCACAAATATAAATTAGATTCAATTACTTGGTATCTCTTGGTATTATAAAAGACTTACTGGTACTAAGAACTAGATATTCCTGCCTAAAATTTATGCACAACAGACAATAGTACAGGGCCAGTATTCCTATATTAAAAAGAGTAAAGGTAAAGAAGAAAAAGCAATTAAGTCATTGTGGAAGGCATCTTATCGCCCTAGAGGAACTATGAACGAGAAAGTTGATCAATGATTAAATTATGTAGCATCAAAAAATCAGCTGTTTCATTTATAAAGTTGTTTGGGACAGAAAAACAATATTGTATAGTACTGCCATACTCACTATATCTTCTACCAGTATATAACTATACGTTCTGATAAGATTTAAATAGCAAGTAACATTTCTGTTTGTTTGAATATTGATACATATAAGGCAAAAAAGATATTATCTCAAACAATTGCTTTTGTATGTGTGTTCTAGAAACTGATTTTACATTGACAGGCCACAGTTTTACCAATCTTATATTTATCTTTTGGACTATCACTTCCTTCCTGATAATGTCAAAGAGTCTATTTCTACAAATTTTCTTGTTTGGCTGAATCAAACATAGAAGCTGAATGATTAATCTCAGTTCTAGATGTTTGCCCTGCACAACATTAGTACTGCAAATATTTATCTTCCATTTATTTTTTGAAGATACACCACTTTTTGGCAGTATTGAGCAATGAGACTTATATTGTCCTCCTGAACAGAATAATGCATTTCTAATTATTCGTATTTATAAGCTGCTATGAGGAAAAAAAGTTTAAAAGGCAAATATTGAACTTTTGAGATCCTCTACCTACTGTGTAGGGGAGGTTATGTCATCCCTTCAAGGTAGACCAGACTAGGGAATAAAGGTTATGAACGTTCATATAGTGTTTATTTTTAAAGTTATAGTGCAGTAACAGAAGCTTGTAAATTTTAATACTGTATGTTTCCCCCTCCCTCCTTTTATCATGATGAGAATTAGGGAAGGTCCTGTTTGAGGTGCTTTCTCAAACTATATTTCTGCCCTAGATTCAAGATTTCTTTTGTCTTGGCCACAGCCCTTTCTCCTGTTCTTCATTCTTACTGTCCATTGCAAGTAATGGTTTTAGCAAGTTCATTTTCTCTATATTTGCTTCTTAATTTATGAATGAGGATTACTAATTTCCATCCCTTAAAGCATCCAACTACTCCAATAATCATTTTCACAAAACTAAATACCCAGCCCAAACATACCAAATTAAATCTGACTGAAAAAATTCAGTATGAGATCTCAAGGAAATGGAACTTTCTTTCCAAGAACTCAAGAGAAACACATGTTTTGAGAAAAAAAAGCAAGGGTCTGCAACCATCAATTTTCTTTGGCATTTTGGATTCACATAAACTCATATAGCAAACCCTGGTAATCTATAATGTTGGGTTAACAGTGTCAGTAGTAGAGGTTACCCTTAATTGCCCTGACCCCAAAACATGCTGTTCAGACCTCAAAGAAGTGTTGTGCTTTAAAAACACGCCATTCGAGGTGTTTCAACCACAAAACATTTTCCACACTTCCTGCAACTACGACTTGTTTGGTTATTTCTATATAGCCATCCAATTAAAAACAACTTGGGGAGAGATGGGGGAATACAACCGGTTTAAAAATCATGAACAAAACTTCTCCCCAAAACTCCCAAAATCAATAGCAAGAAAACATTTCTTAAAATATTGCTCAGATATTAATTCTATCAATCCCCTGGCCCAATTCTTGTGGGAACAGCCAGGTCTTTTCTGCCTTTCAAAAGGACTGTGGACTGCCTGGATTTCAATGGATAGATGTTCCACTGGTCAGTGACAGAGAAGGTGGGCTTCCTCCAATCCCAACAGATTGCATTATTTAATAGAAGGCATCAGAAGCATGCCAGTTCTGTCAGATCTGTTGGGGTAGACAAGAGGTAATAGGAAACAAATAATCTACTAATAATCCAGTAAGACAAACAGGAAGTGATTAAGATATGAATATAAGCAGGATGCTTGCTCCAGGAATGGGTGCAAGCCCTCCTGCCCACAGGTGCTACCTGTCCCTCAAGCAGGAGCCAAGAATCTAGGACAATCCTCAAAATTGAGGATTACAATGCTTAGCGCATTGTAAGCCGCCCTGAGTCTCCGGAGAAGGGCGGCATATAAATCAAATTTTTTTTTTTAAAAAAAGTGCACTTCTGCCTAGGGGAGTGCCATCCCAACATAACTAAACATTGAAAGTCTCCAATAAAAGCCAGCCATAAAATTTATGTCATTTAGTCTTTCTAGAGTTAAGTATAAGCCAGATGCTCACAGCATCCAGACAGTGATAAAGAACCTTAAAGGCATCACTTGGCTGGTTAGAGATAGAGACGAACAACTGAGTATCATCAACACATCCTGATGTCTCATTCTATTTGAACAGATGGTTTCAGTGAACAGTTTTGATCAATGACCTCTCAATATTAAACCCAGACCAAAATCCTGGAATGGGGCAAAATATGTTTACTTCAGGTCCCTATAAAATTGCAGCTTAACATCTTTATAAACTTTCATCAAAAGAGGAAGTTGAAACCTGGATGAAAATTATCCAGTATTGTTGAGTCCAGGAATGGTTTCTGGAATGGGGATTGCATCTTTAAGTAAAAACAGACTACGCTGTCTCTATTGTGGATTAATTAACCACTGCCTAGGTTTAACCACACATCACCTCTCAGGCAGCCTAAACCTACCATGAAAGATACAGATATAATATACAATTCCAAGAGGTCTGTCCACTTCTTCAGGACTACGAGGTAGCACTCCTCCCCAAAAACACAGATTGTGCCTCAATTAATCTGAAAAAAATCTGTATTTCCTGAGTTCAACTCCAAGTGGATCTAAGCAATTTTATCCCCCAGATGATTTGAATACTCCTCAGAAGATGGTCCTCTAGATCTTTTTCCAAAATTTCTTAAAATCTTTTGTGAAATATAACCAGATTTTCCTGAGCATTTTCATAGATTGAATGCACAGACATATATTTTCACTTCCAGCTGTAATTTAAGCATTAGAACATGTTACCTCTGGAGTGGTGTCCAGAACCTGAAGCAATTGGGAAGAAGGGGGCAGTTCTAGCCTGAAGTTAGACTGACTGATTGGACCACAGGTAGTCCTCAATTTACAATGGTTCATTTAGTGACTGTTCAAAGTTACAGCGGCACTGAAAAATCTGACTTATGACCATTTTTAACACTTATGACCTTTGCAGCATCCGCATGATCATGTGATCAAAATTCAGATGCTTGGCAACTGATTCATACTGATGACCATTGCTGTGTCCCAAGGTCATGTGATCAACTTTTGCAACCTTTTGACAAGCAAAGTCAATGGGGAAATCAGATTCACTTAACAACTGGGTTACTGTCTTATCAACTGTGATGATTTACTTAACAACTGTGGCAAGAAAGGTCGTAAACTGGGGCAGAACTCACTTAACAAATGTCTCACTTAATGGCAGAAATTGAACATGATTTTTTTCCCTTGTTTCCAACATTTACTTCTAGTTTCTGGCAAACCTCCTCCCCCCAACCTATTGAGTAAAATGGATTTGCTTAACCACCCTGGTGTTCACTTACTGATTGCCGCAAAAAGTGCCAAAAAAAATCAATCTGGTCATGTGATGCCTCAATTTATGATAGCAACAACTGACAACCATAATTTCATGCTCAATTACGGTTGTAACCCAAGGACTACCTGTATAGGCTATTGTTTCTAACATTTATCAATTGTTCAAAGTTGATTTTAAAAGGAAAATTTCCTTTAAATTAAATATTGGGTTTGATGACAGTCCTCTTTAAAATCCATGAAAATATGTGAAAAGGTTTGCTTATTTAACAGGAAAAAATATCATGTATATATGTTTACAAATGCTCAGTAATATAATTGGGCAAAAATGTTACAGTCAATTATATGTCTATTTTGAAATAATATACTGTATCCAAAGAATGTTCTTTCCTAGGCAATGTATTTAACATCTCAGCCCTAAACTATGAACTCAGTGTAACTTTCTGTTACTCAGTTTCAAAAGTTATAAGGCACTTTTGAGGCATTTCTTCCTATTTAAAGTGAAAGTTTAAAACATATTCAAAATGATGAATATGAGAAGAGCTATATAACTGAATTTTACTATTTATTCTCACATTTATTTCTAATAAGATGGCCCGGAGATGAGCGAAGATGAGTAGTGAAGAAGAAAAAACAGTTACATATGAGTGATTTTGTGAGCCTGGGTTTGCGTGCATGT